CTATCTACCGAGTGCAACACGGTGAGACTCTGTCTCAAAAAAAAAAAAAAAAAAAAGAGAAGCTGAACAGAAATCCCCTGAGATACAAGGGGTTGTCTATTTTGGAACCACCTCCCCCAATTCCATATGATTCATCCTTGCCAGAGCTGCTGTCAGAGAAGCCTCTGCTATGACCACTTTTTTAGGCAGGAAAATCTTGCTGCTGGGAACCCATTTCAGGCCCTGCCTTGCTGTACCCTCTTGCTCCAAGCTCCTCCTGTGGATGAGGAGCTGGGCTAGGTAGGTGGGTGAGGGAGGGTTTGCAGCAGCCACATGAGGAGGAAAGAGAAGAGAAGAGTTGCCTCCTGTGAAACTGAGAGGACAAATTACACTACAGTCAACCCAGAGGCAGAGGAGAGACAGAGAGAGAGAGAGAGAATGTGTGTTAGGCGGGAGGGTGGGGTGGGGTGGGGATAGTGGTGGCATTCATTCAGCATCTACGTCTAAAACCATGTCCTCACAGTTGTACTTTAAAGCTTCTGGCATTCCTGGACCTGGTAAAACAAAGGCCTCCCTGTGTTGACCTGTGATCAAACATGGGTCAATCCCCCAGTATCTTTAGAGAGCCCCCAGAAAGGGCCTCACTTACGTCTTGCGTTGCTCGGCTGAAGAGTTCTCTTTTGTCTGTGCAAACATGTCAAAGCCATCACGGGGATTACACTGCTGGAGTGAACTCAGGGTGCCACTGACGCTGTCTGTCCCCAAGTCTATAGCAACAAAACAAATGCGGGCAGATGAGAACCAAATGTGGGTTATGGACTTGACAGGGGGCCCCCAAGCTAGGATGCCAGCTGCGTGGGTTCGGGTCCTATGGGGTGGGGGCAGGACTCCCAGTTCACCATGGGCAGGAGGAGCCAGGGTAGGGCCCAGATGGGCACAGCCACTCCCCACCAAGCTGCTCACAGAGGGGAAAGAGTCATCATAACGAACAGGGAGATTGCTGGTGATAAGGCGGCCGGGATACCGGGGCTAGAACACCTACACATTTCCTATAATGCCCTTCAAAGGTGAGCCCTCATTAACTCAACCAAGGACCTGGGCCATTTATCTATTTAGCAAATATCTCTAGGCACTCATAGTGTTCAGAGCTAGAATTCAAGCGACTCAAATGGAATCAGACTTGTTCTTTGGCCTCAAGAAGCTCACTGAGTAGGAGGGAGACAGAAAACAGTGGTGCTGGTCTTGAGACACTTGGAAAGACACAAAACCAGCCCAAGAGTGAGTCTTCGAGGATGACTGAGAGAATGTGCTCAGGGAAGAAGGAGGAAAGGCAGGCACAACGCCACAGGTCTGCTAAGTCCAGGGTGTGTGAAGTAAACTGGGCTCACAGGGAGAGACCATGGAAGAGATGGCTGGAAAGGCAGGTGGAGAGAGTTGATGAAGCCTCAAATGCTAGGAAAGAAAGTAGGTGTGAAGACACTCGCTGTTTTTTATGAAGGGAGTAGCAGAGTCTAATTTGAAGCTTTGGTATTAAATCTGGTGGGTATATATGCTGCATGGACTGAAGGCAGAGAAATTTTCTCTGACAGAAATAGTGGTTACAGATATGTGAGAACTGAGAAGCTAGCATTACAGCAACTGACAGGCCACTAAATAAAGCTCACTTCAATTCAGAGGAAATGAAGGTAGAAAGAGAAATATTAAGCAAATGGGAAAATAAAAAACAAGGCAGACAAAAAAAAATTGAGAGCCATACTTGCTCAATTATTTTACTATTATAATTTTGTTATAAATTCTATATAACTAAAGAATCCAGAGTTGTATATACACTTTCAAACTGAATGAACTGTAGAAAAGTGGGAAGGGTTTTTTGTTTTAAGTTCCAGATAATGGAACATTTTAGGTTGGTACAGTTCAAGGAGAACAGATATATATATTCAGTGTCACCGCTTTCTGTTTCCAAGCCCACTGCACATTGTCAATCAATCACAGATTCTTCTAAGCCCCAATGTAGCTGCAGCATCCTCCTTAAACCTGTGTTCCAAGCACGCAAGGAGCTAAAACCTATCTGCCATCCTTGACCTAGTTAATATTGAACCAAAAGGGGTACAATTGGCCATGACTCAGGTACACACGTTCTCATGTGGGATTCCCCACAAAACTCTCTTCAGGCCTCCAACAAGGGGTGAGAGTGGCCTACAGAAAAAAAAAAAAAAAAAACAGTGGTAAGGAGGCCCTTTCTGCCTCTGAGATACTCACCCAAGCCTGCAAGCTGGGAGGAGAGAGAAGATGGGGGTGCTGTGCTCCCCACCATTGGGCTCACCACAGCTGGTGACCCTGGCCCCAGGTCTATTAAGTTGTCTTCAGTCACTTCGGTCAGCACCTGTGAGAATGTGAGACTGGCAGTGAGCCCCAGAGCCCTGTGTTGGCTTTGAGGGGAATGTCAGTGGACACCTGACAGGTGTCTGAGGGGAGAACCATGGGTGTAGCTCCTGTCTGGAAGCAATGCCTTCCCTCACCTGTCTCCAGGGTCCATCACATGCCCCTGCTGTCAGGGAGCCTCCTCTCAGTCCCCACTCCAAGGAGGAGCACCGAGTCACCAGAATGGTCAAGTCTCGGAGCCTCCTTGCCATCTTCCCAACAGGGGTGCCTGCTAGCTCGTCCCCAACATCCTGTCAACCAGAGCTGGCTCTTCAGTCGCCCAAATATTTTAAACTCAGTTAGAAAACTAGAGGTGAGGGAACACCAGAGCAGGTCCTCATCCTCCACAACATGGAAGGGTGGCCAGCCTGCAAGACCAGAGAACTCGGAGGGAATACTTACTCCATTACTGGCATTGTGAAGTGATCGGCCCGATCTGTACCGTTCAAACCTATCAAGAAAAGGGAAAGCAGAAGTAAGAAGATGCCCAGGACATGCCCATGGTGCTTGCTGGTCCTATGAAGAGCCCCTGGACCGAGAGAGACTGGCCAGTCCAGTCTGAGGGCTGGGGAAGCAGATGCAGACAGGCACAACTCTGCCCCACTCTCCCCAGAGGGGCTGGCCTGGAGAGCATCAGCCTCCACCCGGCTCCCTGCCTGCGTGTCTCTCACCCAGTCATCTCTTCACACGAGGCCCAGGGAGCTCCTCCTGCCCCTAGAGGGAGTGTGGGTCAGCCACTTACCTCAGAGGCCCCAAATGTCTATCCACAAAGCCAAGCAACAACTGCAGAGCCCTCCCTATTTGACAGAGCTGTGCTGAGAGGAACTTGCTAGTATCGCTAAGATGTCCCCAACTCAGCCTCTAGGGGAGGAAGTAGGGTGCTCATGGGGTGGGAGCCCCAGGAGCAGGAAGGTGGGTGCAAGCCCTAGGTATGGCCTGGTAAAATAGCCAGTAGTTGCAGGGAGGTCTGGGCCAACCATGAGCAGCTGTTGGAAGAGCAGGGCAGGATGGGCCTGCCAGGGGGTCTCCTCTGCACCCAGTGATAGTGCAGACAGGACCTGGCTTTGATCAGCTGTGGAGGGGAACGGAAGAGCAGTTGCCAGGTATACAGGGCTGGGGAGAATACATCATGGTCTGCATCATATTCACAAGCTGCAAAACACCTCTAGCAAAGAGGAGACATTTTCTAGCTAGAGCCTGAGAAACTGGGCATTAGTGAGGTACGCTGCTCCACACTGGTCTCCCAGCTTGCTGGGGTCAGAGTCTGGGGACAGGGATTCCCAGGGGGAAGGATCTGGTTAGGTGGTGAGTGTCTGCTGTGGTTTTAAGGAAGATTTGTGTGTTTTTTTCCAACAGTGGTAAAAGGAAAATAGGAATACTAATATATCTAAAAAAAATTTTAATCCTAGAGTACCTTCCCACATTTTCTTAATTAGTCTTATCAAAGGCACCCTAACCAGGATGGTACCTCAGGGACACAGGCCCTAGGCTTTGCCTCTAAATTATTTATAATGCTGGGACTGGTGGACTCCTGGGTTCAAATGCCCACATTAGCTAGCTGCTGTTATTCTATTCTAGCAGGGGCTTAAATGGATTTAACAGGTTAAAAATAAGCTCACTTGCCATGCAAAATTTGGAGCCACATGGTAGGACAAAGGGCCTCCAGGGTGGGAGTTGAGGCTCCTCAGATCAGTGCCTGCCTTCTAATTGACACAATGGGAGCTGCTGGGGCCCCACACTCCCACCACAGAGGTTTCCTCACATGTCACAGTGAGGAATGCACCCAGCTCTACTTCCAAGGTTAAAACCTAAGACAAAGCCCAGGGTTGTGAAACTACAATAAAATCACCCTTTAAACCCCAAAGGGTAATGCGAATGCAAGTATCTGTCCCACTTACCCTACGTGATGCCAGTGAGCTTGAGGTACCTACAATAGCACAGGGGGGTAGCCCTCAAGTCTGCAAAGACCCTAGCCACCCTTTCGGCCCTCAGATTTAAGGGGAAACGTTTGGCCTGGTCAGGGTCCCTCCTGGTTCTAACAGTGGGTCATTTAAGAAAGCCCAAGGTGTGCCCATCAGGGTGATGAGACGGGAGCTATGCTGCTATTATACTTCCTATTTAAAACTAGCTCTAAATAAGACATTTTGGACTTTGTCCTGAAGGGAAGGCTTTAGATATGAAAAAAGCCTGCAAGTTTGTTACCTCAAACCTCAAAATGCAGAAAGAACTGAAAGGAACGTGTGCACGTTTCCGGCCCTTACACCCTGCCTACCTCCCCTGAACACTCTAGATAACACTGACATTTGCAAAAGGAAAAGCTTTTTCTTTTTTTAAAGATGGGAAAAGGAAATCCTTTTCCTTAGTAGAGATTTCTTTTCCCTTTAATCCTTTTCAAATTCAAAGAATCATCAAAGGAGCAGGTGCAGAAGCTCTGGAACCCAGACCCCCCCCCCCCAATTCCTAGCCTTCCCTGGGGCTGAGGGTGGGGGGAGGTAGAGCAGCCTGAGGCTCACAAAGGGCAGAGCCTAATTCTGCACATCAACTTCCTGCTGCTTCTGCTGCTTGGTTCCCAGGAGAACAAGAAGCGTTTTCCTTGTCAGCCGGGAACAAATTAGCATCTCTGATGAGTATTTTCCAACTCTAATCTCTCTCCCTCTTTCTTTTTCCTTTGTTTATGCAAGAAATCCCTCTGTTATGGCAACAATCTTTTCAAGGGGGGGAGAAAAAAGGAGCCTGGCTCCCACCTCTCGTAGCGGAGGAAGACGTTGTTGAGGTCGTCGTTGACATGCAGCAGCTCCTCCGTGACCTCCTCGTTGGACACGCGGGAGATGAGCTCCACGATGCGCTGCTGCATGGCCCGGCAGGTCCTGTTCAGCTCCTAGGGAACACAGACACCTCGGGATGGCCTGCTGGGTATGCTTTTTGTCACATTCTATTTCCTTTGAAAAAAATTTGTACTGATTCTTAAAAGTCACAAAAGGAGTACATGTGTCTTCATAAAACCAGACATGTGCAGAATACAAAGCAGAAGGTCCCTCCATTCTGCCTGCCCCTCCCACCCTGGAGGAAACAAGGACTCTTTCCGCAGAGAGACAAGTGTGCATGTGCACACTGTTATATGTGCATGAGCACTGTTTATATTAGTCATTTACAGATAGTAAAATGTGATTCTCTGCAATCCGTTTTTCCTCTTCAACAGAATATTCCAGATACCTTTTCCCATCCCTCTGTGTGTGCACCACAGTATAGCTCACTATTCTTTCATTGGGGGCTATTTAGGTCGTGGTCTCTCTTTTTTTGGCCAACCCAAATAATACATTTGTACACATACACACTTACAAACTCAGGCAAGGACTTCCCTAGGACAGTCTCCTCAGAAGTGGACTTTCTGGATGACAGGGTATGGTCACTTAGAATATTGATTGGTGGCTCGGTGCCTGTGGCTCAAGTGGCTAAGGCGCCGGCCACATACATCTAAGGTGGTGGGTTCGAATCCCCAGCCCGGGCCCGCCAAACAACAATGATGGCTGCAACCAAAAAAATGGCCAGGCGTGTGGCGGGCGCCTGTGGTCCCAGCTACTTGGGAGGCTGAGGCAGGAGACTCGCTTGAGCCCAGGAGTTGGAGGTTGC